ATTTCCATATAAGGTATGGGACTGACGGAAAGGTCTGTCACCGCCCCGTTCTGCATGCTGCAGCGAAGTGTACTTGAACTTATTCAGAAAACCGGTAGACGGCAGCCATTACAGAAGAATGTGTTTGTTGTTGTTCCAGGAGCGGCCCGGTCACACACTAACGTCATTAGTTCGTTATCAATACTGAGCTGCAGGACTGATTTCCCCCACTTTTTTTTCACATCATGTCACCTGCCTGGATCTGTTATTATCTCGCTCTGAAGTACGGAGGAGTGTCAGAGCTAAGCTCGTTTCAACTGCTTTTTACAACGCAGTCTCATTTCCAGACTAAATGAAGCCGATATTTCAGTTAAAATACATAAGTAAAAATATTTATCCGAGTATAGTACTACCCCCCAACTTTATGGATGATTTTATGGATTAAATCTTACATATTATACTTCAATAAATATGGAGTTAACACCAAAAGCAGTTACAACTGCAAGCAGTTGAAGATAAAACTAAGAAATAGTTCAAATTAAATTGTTTTAAAAATTTGGCAAGTCAGAGATGTCAAAAAATACTTGTGTTAAATAGGAGGCATAATGTGTTTTTATTTTTTTTGTTTTAATATCACTACTTTTATTACATTACATAGGGTTCTATATGTTGTATTCATGATTAAAGGCAGCAAAATTAATTCAAAGGTAACAGATCTTTGTAATACTTGGTTTATTTACATGATGACTTTAATTGCTGGACATGGAGACCTCACGTAAATTATTTAAGAACAAATATGGCTAAATCTATTGCTGTTCTGTATAAAGGAAGTTATTTAATGATAAAGCACTGTAAATGTTGTATAATGCAATAATAGGTCCACTATTGTATTGAGGTCTGGGGAAAAGTGTGTAGAACAATTACAAATCCTGTTTGTTTTATTACAGATAAGATCTGTGAGAATTATTACTGGAAACATWGTCGTCACCCATCAAATTCATTATTTTGTAAATTGAAAATATTGAAGTTCTTTGACTTGGTTGATTATAATATTCTACAGGTTATGTATAAAGCCCACAAAAACACATTACCTTTAAACATCCAAGTACATTTTGTTAAAAAAAGAGTTGTAACCTTAAAGGGACAGAGATGTCTGTAAAACTCAAACTCAGAACTAATTTGAAGGAACGGTGTACTTTAATTCAAGGAATGAAACTATGGAATAATTTGGGGAGTGATGTAAAAATGCAGGATCATTGTGTACGTTTAGGAAAATGATAAAAGTTGGATTGTTAAAGAAATATGAAACAGTATAATGTGTATCTATATACAGTGGTTTGCAAAAGTATTCATACCCCTTGAACTTTTCCATATTTTGTCAC